AAGTTTTAAGAATATTAACTCTCCCATGCATTTATATGTACCAGCTGTTAATTTTTGTAAAATCGGATCAGCGACCTTTTACCTTCTTAAACAAAAATAATTACGGCACAAGAAATTCAACATTGTTAGAAATACCAAATCATAGACTGGCTAGATCAGAATCAAGTCCAATTTTCATGGGTGTCAGGCTATTTAACAAATTGCCAAATCATGTTAGAAAAATGTCACTAAGAAAATTTAAACCGTTCCTAAAAAACTTTCTGATTGATAAAGCCTACTACTCCATTGAAGAGTTTATAAATGACTTATCAATATAACTGAAGAATTGAGATTGTCATCTAGGGTTGTTAATATATTATAATTTTACCTAGTTATAAGTTTTAATATATAATTTTACATAACTGTTCATATCCTATATGTACATAATTTTTTCTTTTTTATAAGTTTATTTATATCATATTACACTGACTTGTTCTATATCATTGAGTTATGATCCAGAAGAACCAATAAAATATTATTATTATTATTATGGAAGAGGTAGTGAACATCAATAAAATCTGGTCATATTGCAGAGTAGACTGATTCATCCCAAAATTCAATAGTTTCAGGATGTCTGCTGATACAGTATCCCGCAGATTTTTTATTACAATGCATGTAGTGCATAATTTTGAACAGTGTTTATGTGTGCTTCCCATGTTAGAGTTTACTATCCAATGTAACACCTAAGAAGTTGATGGTTTCATTAGATTGTATTGATGAGGTTAAGTATAGGTCATAATCTGGATTTATATTTTTTGGTAAAAACCGAACATAATTGGATTTTTTTCTATTCAGAATGAGGTTATTTTCAAGGGTGTATCGAACCCAGGTATTTATTATTATTGAATCTGATTTCACATTATTCACTACTGTCTCTGTGTTATAAATCATATTTATTAAAAGATTTTTTGAACAAAAATGTATTTCACATTGTTACTGCTTTGAATAATTCAGAATATATTTCAGGAAATAACTTTTGATGTTTTTTCAGCCTTAGAATTACTCTGATACATGAATCGGCTCAAATTAGGTCGGCTGGTCTACGATGTATACGACACTTGCTTAAAACAGAAAATGATATTGTACATTTGAATAAGTTATTAATACCATATTTATTAACTAGGTAAACTCTGGTTTATGATATTCATCTTATAGGCAGTATTGATTTCTGTTCGTTTTAGATCTTTAGATATTATATTAAGAAATGATGTAGAAAGAATAGAGGCTATGAAATTGATAAGGAAGTCTCTTATTATAGCACCCTCCAAATTTGACATGTCCTTAGCTCGATGTTTGGTATCTTTGGCCTACGAAGGTACTGAAGCAAAAGATAGAATGCTTAGAATTTGTTTGGCCACATTGTCGGAACTTGGTAAGGAATAGTTTGTATATACTCTTAATTATTTAATTATTGCGGCACTATTCAAGGTCAGATGTTGCATACACTTCAATACACTTGTATTTTTTCAGGCATCCTCAACACCAAACTGTTCATTATATCAGGTGGAATAACGGCTATATCTAGAAATTTGCTGGAATGTCAGACACCTAAAATAGCCGAGTCTCTTTGCGGGGTTCTGTTATTATTGTTGGATAAGCCGTCTACTAGACGTTATGCAGCTGTCGATCTGCATTGTGCTGCTGCCCCCTTTTGTGATTTTCATTACAAACACGGAGCTAAAGATAAAAATAAGTGAGTTATTTGAATTAAGTCAATGAAAATAAAAATGTGTAAAATTATTTTCAGGAGAGACGAACGAGAATTGAGATTGAATTGTGGTAGACTAGCCTTACTGAGTATTTTGAGGAGTTGGTCAGGTATTTTACATTTCTGTAGTCCGAATGACAAAGGGGGTTTCAGAGCTATTGTCGAGGTGTTGTATTTACAACAACTAGAAGTAAGAGTAAGTAATATGGTTGATATATTGGCGGTTCATTCGCTAGATCGTTGTGGGAGTAACAACTCACTCTGAGAGGTGAAAATTGATCAACATTTTCAATAATTTTTCTTTCATTGGGAAGCTATTGTATGATATACGTAATGAACAACACTTTATTGTGATCTTTTTTACTATAACAACAGCTTCTTCAGGTATGTATATTTCTGATCAACTAGTGTCTAAAGACTGTCGAGGAGAGATACNAACATCTTGAGACCATTATAATATATAGAGTCTTTGACTAGAGTAGAGGCTGGTATGGGTAATCTTAGGTCGTTGGTTTGACGAAGGGCATAATAAATATCAATTTATGTTTCTTTATTAAACATACTGTTTCTAAAATGAAGATTCCAAAAACTATCAAAATTTCATGTAATTCAAATAGGGGTTTGCAGGAGTCTCGACTTTTGGCACTGCACATGAATCTTAGAGCCCTTTTCTGACTAATGAGCACTGTCTGCGCATTTGAGTTTTGCAACATACTCCCCAGAAAGGAATTCCATTCCTTAAATGCAACTCAACAAGTGAGAAATAAGCCGATTTAGCGGCAGACAAATCAAGATCCTTATAAGTTATTCTCACTGCAAAACAGTCTGAAGCTAGCTTTTTATTGAGGGTTACGATGTGAGTTTATTGTCAGTTATTACTACCAAAAATTTAGTACTAGGTCTGTTTTCAATAATCCTCTCCGCGTCCTGTGTTGGTAAAGAAATGTTTTGTCAATGAAACAGCAGAATGATTTAAATTTGTTTTGGAAACATTAAAAGACAGCAGATTAGAGTTGCACCAATTTTTTTATTTTTTTATAATCTCGTGGAGATTACATAAAGTTTTATCACGCCATAATATTGTGGTGTCATTGGCGAATAGGTTAAATTTTCCTTCTATATCGATAGATGTTAAATCGTTTATGTATAGCAGGAAAAGTATCGACCTAGTATTGAACCTTGTCGTACGCATTTTTTCCTTCATGGAACAAAAAACAAACCATCCAGCGTGATATTAGCCGGAGAAGAACCTACAGTGTAGGTAGTTGGGAGACATGAGGATTTCGAGGTTTTATATTTTGGAAATCTCACAATGAAGTGTTGTGATACTGACAGTCAAGTATGTAAACTGTAAAAGTCGCCTACAATAGAGGATTGCAGAATATGAAACGGTTGAAAACTTAAAATGGAATTAGTAATGAACTGTGAAATACAAATATAATGAATTTAATGTAGATTAGCTTCAACAAAATATATGTGGACTTATTTATATGTTGTTAAATCCATAATTTCCCTTCATTATCGTAAGGTACATGTACCCTTACAATAAGGGATGAGCCAAGAATAACAGCTCTCTTTATACATCCGGTCAAAATTTCTGCTTTGCCTATATGCTCTTGAAATTCGAGAGTAGGGAAGGCATAATTCCATCAAGGAATGAAATTCGTAGCCAGAAAAATATTTCAGGAGTCTTAGGCTAAAGGGTGAACCATGCAATAGTACGGGTATTATTTCGTGGAACTGCTGTGACTTCAATAATCAAAACGACAACTTCAGCAGAGTGGTCTGGGTAGAATTTGCGGACTTGGGAAAGAAAATCTCTATATTTCAACAGTTTTCCTTCTCTTTTCGGACGATATCAGTCTCCTCTGAAACTGAAAGCTCTACAATGAATATCGTCTTTGACTATGCCTTCGGGCGCCCGAAGATGCTTTTGTATACCTGAACAAGTGTCGTGGTTTTGTAAACTTTTAACTGTGAACCTTACATTGGAGTGTATTTTTTAAAATAAGCTTTTTTAAGAAAAAAAAACAAACACTACATGGAATTCCTTAAGGTGCTCTAATAGTGGTCGTGTGCGAAAGTAGCGATTCACATTGGATTTGAATCGCTGGAGATTAAATCCATTTGGAGAAACGTTCTCAAGAAGTTTATTCCACATAAACGCAGTTCTCCAAATGAAAAAGTTTTTGAACAGTAAAGTTCGAGACTAAGTTGAACCGTTACGTATTTCTTATTGGAAGCAAATGTGCCAAGTCACCTGAAAACATTCCGTTAAAGTATCTATAGAAGAGAGACAAAGCCCCAACCATTCTTCTATGTTTCTGACCAAGGTTCCAAGTGATGGATGGAATCCAGCAGCTTCAGGGTATGCTTAGGGGCGGAGCTCCGTACATGAGAAGAATACTCCAAA